AGCTGAGGGGAAGTCTGCGTCTGCTCTATCTCTCCGACAAGACGTAAGTTGAAGTATTCATGTCTGCTCTATCTCTCTGAGAAAACGTAAGTTTAAGTACTTTCGTCTGCTCTCTCTCTCTCCGATAAAACCTAGGTTGAAGAATTCACGTCTGCTGTATCTCTCCGACAGAACACAAGTTGAAGTATTAACGTCTGCTCTATCTCTCCGACAAGGCATAAGTTGTAAAGGTCTAGCAGATCTGCCAAGTACTCCGATAAAATGGAAGCTGTCCGATTTAAACTTTTTTTTGGGGGGCCCGCTTTTTCGTATTCCGCAAAAATTGTCCCCAGTGTTGCTGTTGATTGACAAAGTTGAGCTTCTTCATTCTTTCTCTTCTGTATATATATACTGTGATTGTTTTTTCTGTTCTACGGTCTGTCTCTGCAGCCCAAATACAGCTTGTCCACCAGTGATCCTATATACTATAGCAGGGCTAATACGAGAATATTTCCGAGCCATTTAAGAGTCTTTCTTTGGAAGTTTGTAAAAGCTTTTTAAACCATGGATAGTGCTTAATGGGTTTTTTGGGGGTTTTTTTTAGGGAAACTTTTAAGATTTCAAGAATTATACTCATTGTTCATACGTTCGGTTGCCATTGTTTTTGAGAGTATGAATTAATTACCAGTTTCTGTATTGTATGTCTATTTTCAGGTTGAGGACCCAAGCATCAAAGCACGTCCGATGGTTCCTTAGCAACGAGCAAGACACTGAAGGCAAGATGCCTGCCACGGGCGACCTTGAGCCGACAAAAATCGACTCGTGCCTCATCCTGAGCACCCCAGTACTCATTGACGATGATCCAACTCGCTCTGTGTTCACTGTAGGTAGCTTTTAGTTGCTTATTATAGAGTCAAACCTGTCCTAGACAACCACCCATTGCCATTGAGAAAAGTGGTCATCTTAGACAGGGTCAATATGTGAGGCATCGTGGTGAAATCAGACACTCGTCAAAGTAATGAAATAGGAGAAAACGCCGTATTTCCGCCGGTCAGGCAATTTTTTTTCTCGAATTTTTTTTTTTTTTTGGCTCAGCACCCTTATGACTATGTAAAATCATATTTCTGTGTGAATTTTACTGGAAAAACGTTGATTATAGGCACAAAAAATGTAAATTTTCATTTCTTAAGAACTCTCAAGCTATGGAAGTTACCACACTTTAGCGACCATTTTTCTCGATAATCTTTACCTCTGAAACCAGGTGATTCCCACCTCCTTCAATCGAAAATATCTCGACTTCTATTCTAGAAAGGTGGGTATATTTTTCTTTGAATGCAAGGCAAATGAGCAAGCTTTAAGATGATACCATTAACTCGACATGCCCAAAAATTGTCGAGCGCCTGATTCCAGAGCGTCATGACACATATGATGTATAGAAAAACTCAAGGAGAGCAATTGGATGTAGTCGTTTGTGTAGAGGATTGTCTTAGACAGGTGGTTGTTAAAGCAAGTTCAACTGTACTTGCACTGAAATAATATCTGTTTTGAATAGTTATGGGTGGTATTGTAATAATATTGCACTTTGATTCTGTAAATTTTTTTATTTTTTATATTTTTTTTCAAATTAAAGAGAATGAGTTTGTTCACAATTCTCTGTCCTTTATGTTTAACAAGGTGAACTGGCCTGCGACTGTTGGTATTTGTCAAGTGGCCTGTTGAGATAGAGCTCAAAGTCCTACAGTTGATTGTAAATATGTTATGCCCCCATTGACACACTTTAGATCATAATTTAGAGGATAGGGAGTTTCCAAAGTGGGGGATATTAACATGTCCTTATGCACAGTAGAATTGTAAATGAGCTGATTTATTAATGTCATGCTCATACTGTGCAGGAACAACATACGGGGAACTGTTGCTTTTTCTTTCCTCATCCTTACAATTGTCATTTTTTACCTCTACTTCTTTTGTATGTTTGTCACTCTCTTGTGACTCTCTATTTCTGGGGTGCCTTGATAGTGGAAGCAGACTTTGTGCTGTTGAGGCAAGAGAGGTGAGCAGAGTAAGCCTGATTCCTCGCCTGGACTTCTCTGTTGACATCCACCCCTTGGCTCTCATATGACCTTATGCAGTTTCGAGCGCCGTAAAAACTCTACAAAAACAAACAAACCTTACTAATACAAACGAACAGGATAGGGATTTGCAGCTAGTTACGGTTGTGTTTTCCCTGTGTTGTTTTGCAGGAAGAAGGCATGAAGCAGGTGTTTGACATCTTCACGGCCGATCCCGTGGATCCGGGGGTCAAGAAGTCAGCGAGTGAACAGCTGGCAATAATGTTGAAAGGTGAACATGGTGGTCTCTGTTACTGGGTGTACATCATTCCTGCATTCAGAGGTGCTGGTTTTTCAGATAAAAGACAAATCTGGATTTTGAAATTGTTCGTCTGGATTTCTGAAATTGTCCACATTTTGCTCGGACTGCAGACTGGCTGTATAAGAATATTATTTGTGCTAGGTGTATGAGAGTAATATGATCCTTAAATTTTGAGCCCCAGTGTTTTCCAATGAGGGGAAACATTTTTGGGGATTTTTTGCACCTCTGATCGTTAATAATTTTTTCTGCTAAATAATGGTCTTTGGATTCTGCAATCAGTTGTAGATTTCAAATCTTTTGTTTATATTTAACGCTCTGTTTTTTTCTTTCTTACATTTGTATAACTGGCTGATAAGTGACAATTTTGTTGCAATTTTCAAATTTCTGTTTTTCATACTTTTATCTGTTCCTGTCAGCTTTTTGTTCGTTATTGGCCAGGACATTTGAATTAGAAATATACCATCAAAAATTTTCTGTCACCGCCATCTGTGGTGTAGCGGTTAGGTACTTTACTGTTGCCAGCCATGGCATTGGACAGAAGGGTGAGAGCCCAGATGTTGCTAGATCGATAACAACAACTACTGTTGCCAGCAGGGTACTTAAGTTCGAGTCCCGAGTTTGGAGGATTTTTTTATTGAGTATCTCGGTCTTTCCACTGGGATGTTGTATCCCTCACAGCATGGGCTGGTCCTCCTAAGTGATCTAAATTGTGTCATTAAGGGTGTAGAAACACTTACATAAAGAATTTTTTTGGTGTCATATTGGATCAGTCTCAGCACTTCTTCGAAGCATACTATATGAGATGATTTCACCTCATGATTTGTGCAAATAAAGTATCTTTATCACGATCCTAGATCCTCATCTGCATGCCCTGTTCAAGAGCCATGGTGGGGTGGAAATAGCTTGTTCAGTCATCCAACAGTCTGTCATGAGCGCAGCGGAGGAGGCAGACAGCAAGGTACACAATTGATTTATTGTATTACAATCTGATATGTGTTGCATCTTTTTGGTAAAGAAGGGTGTTGCGTGCAGTGTTCTTTGTCTTTTGTTTTCTTTGTCAATGCTTCCTTCTTTGTCAATGCTTCCTTCTTTGATTATTACTGTCTTTTTTTCTCTTTGCCTTCTTTTCTTTTTCTGTTTAAGAGGGGGGGGGGGGAGTGTTTCCTTGAAAAACGAACAAAATAGTGTATCACAAATCTCTCCATTCTCCCTTTGGTCTTACTTTTTTTAAAAATAATGCGACAAAATGAATCTGCCAAGATGAGAAAAAGATGGACAACGGATTTTGGCTTTGGAATTTGTTGAGATTTATCCCTCAACATACTTTTCTCTTATCAGTCTAGATTTGCGGGTGGTTGGCGGATGCTCGGGTGTGGTTTGCTCCTTCTTTCCTATCAAACATCTATCATCCTTTTCTCTCCTCCTTTTTTGTGTTTGTTACTCTCTTGTAACACTTCTCATCTTCGGCACTTATATGACCTTATTGTGTTGCAAGTGCCGTAAAACTCTGACTAAAACTGAAAGTCTAGATTTGTATTAGACTTTTCATAGCACTCACATCACTATTTTTCATCTTCTAAATGTGTAGCAAAAGCCTGATACAGTGGCCGTCCTACCTGCGTGTCTGTCCATGTTGCACAGCTTGGCGCGCTACGACTACACACTGCGTCACACACTGTCTCGGGATAGCGAGTTGTACCACTGTTTGGTCAGAGGTAAGAAGCTGCCCTCACTGTTTTTTTCTAATATCAAATAAAGCCATAATTTAAAAAAAATTCCTTTGTCTGGTATACAAAATGCCATATGGGGTTATAGAAAACTTTAAGAAGGTTTTGCCTGGTCAGAGGTAAGAAGCTACCGTCCCTGGATTTATTTTTTAATGTCAAATAAAACCAAGATTTTAAAAAAAATTCCTTTGGTCAGTAAAAAGCCATACAAGGTTGTAGAAAAATTTAACATAGTATTGCAATATTTTAAAATTTACATTTTATTCTTAGACAGGATAGTATTTACTAAATGTTCACCTTTTTCTTCTCAACAGTGTTTACTAAATGTTCTCCTTTCACAACTCACCAGTTTTTACTAAACGTTCACATTTACATTTCTCCACTACCCAGTGTTTACTAAATGTTCACCTTTCTCTACTCACAAGCGTTTACTAAATGTTCACTTTCTCTACGCACCAGTGTTTATGAAATGTTCACCTTTCTCTACTCACAAGTGTTTACTAAATGTTCACCTTTCTCTACGCACCAGTGTTTATGAAATGTTCACCTTTCTCTACTCACAAGTGTTTACTAAATGTTCACCTTTCTTTACGCACCAGTGTTTATGAAATGTTCACCTTTCTCTACTCACAAGTGTTTACTAAATGTTCACCTTTCTCTACGCACCAGTTTTTATGAAATGTTCACCTTTCTCTACTCACAAGTGTTTACTAAATGTTCACCTTTCTCTACGCTTCAGTGTTTATGAAATGTTCACCTTTCTCTACTCATAAGTGTTTACTAAATGTTCACCTTTCTCTACCCTCCAGTGCTTACTAAATGTTCACATTTCTCTTCTCCCCAGTGTCTTTGTTACACCAGTCGCAGGAACAGATCAAGTCGGACGTGTCTCACATTCTCACCTTGCTGCTCTTTGATGAGGTCGCCAAGTTTGACATTGGGTCAGTGCCAGTCGTGTTTGATTCTGACAGTGGATGCGAACTCGTCTCTTCTGTGTTTTATGTTGAACCTGTTTGTAAGATCTTGAAGAAGGTGTGCACCTGTTAAACCTGTTAGTAAGATGTGGATGTGCAATAATGTAATGTGTGCGCATATACAACTTGTTATTAAGATTTTCAAGAAAGGTGTGCACACTCATCTCCTCTGTGTTTTTAGTTGAATCTGATTGTAAGATTTACAAGAAAGTTGAAATCTTATGTGGATTTGTGGAGGCTTTAGGCCTTTAAAACCCCTGTCAATATTCTTTTGTCCATTTACTATATATATAATATGCTCAGAGATGGCGCCCCCCCCCCCCCCCCTCTCTCTGTCTCTGTCTCTGTCTCTGTCTGTCTGTCTGTCTGTCTGTCTCTCTCTCTCTCTCTCTCTCTCTCTCTCTCTCTCTCTCTCTCTCTCTCTCTCTCTCTCTCTCCCTCTCTCTCTCTCTCTCTCTCTCTCTCTCTCTCTCTCTCTCTCTCTCTCTCTCACACACACACTCTCTCTCTGTGAGTGTGTAATGAGTGTGCACAGTCTCTGTGGCTGTTGAT